GACTGATTATCAGCTCAGTAGGCACAGGAAGCCAGGCCCAAATCTCGGTTCTGTCTTTCTCATGAAACTATGGCTTTTTAAAAATATGTATTGTAATGTCTGTATTGAAGCAAAAGGTATCATCGGCTCGAGCTGTGTGTCACTTAGTGTCCCACTTTGCCAAACCCACAAGAAACCACACTACTATAGGTTCTCAGTTGATAGTGTTGGATTACACTAGGACTCAAGACGTACGTCCGGCTGACATGAGAGAAACCTCACCGCAAGCCCCCTGCTTAAGGGTAGTCAGATTATTTCAGGAATCAGATCCTAAAACTCACTATAAATCCATCAAAATCACATTTCACAACCTCCTGTGAGGAGCATACATAACATATTGCTTTACTTAAAATTGAAAAAGTTAGCAGCATATACTTGGAATACTTGAAAATGGAGTCTAATGCAACAACTAAATATACTTTAGACATTAAAGAAGTATAATCAATCAAATTTAGTTGTATGAAGAGAAGGTATGGATGTTGTAGACCACACAAGTTTATTTCCGTCTTCATACAATGTTGCTTTGTCCTTTGATGTGAAGAGCACCATTTCCTTCCCATTAGAGTGTAATAAATCACCTTTTAGATATGGGCTCTGATGGCAATTCATCTCTTTTACAGGCCTTTGATGGTCATTACTCTTTTAACAGGTCCTAAATATAGGTCTAAAAATGGCAGACTCCACATGGCCCTCATTTCTAATTCACACATCTGTCCTCGTTTAGCTGCCATTTTGTCGACGTGAATATAGAGTGCTATAATACCTCCTCATGGCTCATTCTGATTGCCAAAAAAAAAAAAACTAATCGCTTTTAAAATACATTTTCAGCCACCTGTCACTGTTTTGATCAGACAGCAATCAATCCAGAACAATACAGCTTAGGTGGTATAACAGCAGACCCATATTATACCAAAGGTTATTCAGGAAGTAACTACCAGTAATTATTTTAAACTTTAAAGCCCCAATTCTTTGAATGTAGTCCAGCTGCACATGTTGACAGATTGGGTATTAGCTGGTTAGCGTAGCTGTCAGAAATGACTACTTCCGGGATCCTAGTGTTTGGCAGAGAAGTTTAAATGTACGTTGTTGTTATACAACAGTTCCAAAACAAATCTATGTCTAGGGACATGCGAGACGTACTGATTGTTGTTGATCATTGTGTTGGCAGATGGGGCACGGTAAGTAGAGGCTTGCATGATAAACCTGCTCGTATTGCTGAGAAAGTTCATTAGTTTGCATTGTTTGTGTGGGAAAGCTTACTGTATCTAACAGATACATCCCCTAACTCTCTGAACACTATTATGCTTGAAACAAAATGTATAATGTAACCTAATTGAGGATTCCTGCGTTTAATGATATCAGTGGGTCTTTTACAGGATCATAGCTTTTTGATACCCCTATATGAGAAAAAAACCATAGAAGCTTATAGCACAATAAATTTAACGTAGAAGTAATAAATTGTCCCAGTAAAGTGAAACTGACATCCTTGATGACAAATGATGGTCAGGCTCTTACATAGTGGTTAGATTTGAATCTCAATCTTGTTTTCCTTCACAATGTGGAAATGTGTTGTGTGAGAATTGATTTGCTTTATGGATCCCTGTATCTCAACTTTCTCAGGCAGAATTTAGATCAGAAATCAGTACATATCAGCCAGGGAGACTTTTCACCGCCAAAGTGTTTCCATGTTATAAGTACCTAAAAGATGATTTTGAGAACTGACCGTCTGATGGCCCTGTCAATTATTTTAATGAGATAACTGAACTTGACTGTTAAGTTAAAGCAATAGTTTGACATTAATTCATTGATTATTAAATCCCCTGAGACAAACTGTGATTTGCGATATCCATCCATGCATTTTCTACCACTTATCCGGGGTCGGGTCACGGTGGAAGCAGGCTCAGTAAGTAGACGAAACGTCCCTCTTCCTGGCAATGTGTTCCAGCTCCTCTGGCAGGATTCAGAGGTGTTCCCAGGCCAGATGAGATATATAATCTCTCCAGCATGTCCTGGTTCTGCTACCAGATGGACGTGCCTGGAAGACCTCCAAAGGCGATGTGAAGGAGTAGTGGTTCTACTCCTAGTCCCTTTTGGCTGTCAAAGCTCTGCACCCTATCTCTAAGGGTAAGTCCAGCCTATGAAAGAAAGTCATTTTAGCCGCTTGTATTCGCAGTCTTATCCTTTCAGTCACTACCCACAGCTTGTGACCATAGGTGAAGGTTGGAGTGTAGACTGACTGGTAAATTGAGAGCTTTGCCTTTTGGTTCAGCTCCTTCTTCACCACAACAGCCTGGTACAACATCCACATTATTGCTGATGCTACCCCTATCTGCCTGTCAATCCCGTGCTCGATTTTACCCTCACTCGTTAACAGGGCTCCTAGATACTTAAACTCACTTCACTTGGGGCAGCAAATCACTCCCAACCCGCAGCGAGAAATCCACTGTTTTTCAGTAGAGCACCATGGCCTCAGACTTAGAGGTGTTAACTTTCATCCTTGCTGCTTCACTTCAATTGGGTATAAAAAACCCCAATGTGTGCTGGAGGGTCAGGTCTGATGAAGCCAACAAAACCACATCATCAGCAAATAGCAGAGATGTGATTCTGAGGTCCCCAAACTGGACACCAGCTTGTCACAGAATTGGTGACAAGGAACAACCCTGGTAAAAACCAACCGGGAACGTGTTTGATTTCTTGCCTAGTATACAAACACAACTATCACTCCAGTTATACAAGGACCAGATGGACCCCATACTTCCAAAGTACCCCGCACAACATTCCACAGGGGACCTGGTCGTATGCCTTCTCTGAATTTACAAAACACTTATAGACTGGGTGAGCAATCTCCCAGGATCCCTTCAATAACCTTGCAAGAGTTGGTCCATTGTTCCATGACCTGGATGGAATCCGCATTGTTCCTCCTAAATCCAAGGTTTGACAATCGGTGGGAGCCTCGTTTCCAGCACCCTGGCGTAGGCTGAAAAAACTTCTTCTACCTAAAATCAAGTCCAGATGATTTTTTTTCTAGGTTTATTCAGCATCCTACAACCTGGATGACTGAGAATTTGTATGGACACCCTGGCGTAGGCTTTCACAGAGAAACTGAGTAGTGTGATACCCCAATAATTAGAGCACATTCTCCAGTCTCCATTTTTAAAAAGTCTGCCAGTCCACAGGCACTGTCCCCGTCCTCCATGCAACATTGCAGATTTGTCAACCAAAACAGTCAGTATCTCAGGGCGAATCTCATCCACTCCTCCTGCCTTGCCACCGGGGAGCTTTTTGGCTACTTCAGTGACCTATGCCAGGGATATGGGTGAGGTTTCCCCTAAGTCTTCCATTTCTTCCTCCTCCTTGGAGGACATGTTAGACGGGTTCAGAAGTTCAGAAGTGCTCTTTCCACTGCCTGACAATATCCCCAGTCCAAGTGAGAAGTTTTCCCCCCCTGGGCCAAGCCCTGCTTTCCTTTTCTGAGTGAGTGGACGGTATGCCAGAACTTCTTGGAG